GCTCATGACTAACAGATTGATTTAATCACCTGAAATTTGTTAAGGCTTGTCTAAGGACTCAGCATGTTTCAGTTTTAGAAAATGTTCCATGTGTGCTTGAATATGTATTTGGACTTAAGAGTTCTGGCCATGACAAAGTAGCTTGTATCAAAACTGGCCCTCCTCTTGCCAAAAACAACAACAAAAAACCTAGACATAATACATAAGTCAACTGTTTCAGGCACTGGAAAGCAACCAATATAGGCAAATTTTGATGAACTATGGTTTCTGAAAAAAAGGGAATAACAATAGATACACATTCACCCGAGTGTGTTTCCTGATAACATTTGGAATTCAGAGCACAGGAAAAGTGAGTCCTAGTGGAAACCAGCATTCCCAACTGGCTTAGACAGATACTGAAGATTAGGGAATCCAAAGCAACTGGGATTTCAGAGGCAAAAAATCTTGGAGAGATTTGGGAGACTGCAGGGAATGAGCCAAAAACTCTGCATTCAATCTTCCTTTAAGAAGTCTGACAACTGCTAAGTTTCACAAGTACAGGGCAAGACTCCAAGAAAACTAGCAGAAAGCAGCAGCTGGGACGCTAATGAGCTAAGCAGATATTGAAGTAACTGTACAGTGCAGAGGAAAACAAAGTTGGAATTCAGGAAAGTAGTGGCCATGACAAACACCTCGGATTTTCACTTGAGACTGCAAAAGGAATAAAAACAAAACTAAAACACATTACCCTTAATAAAATCTCAACCAAACCTTAACAAGATTAGGATGATCTGTTTGTTCTCTATCACCTTGCTAGGCCCCACAAAAAAAAACTTTTGGAGAAGGTGCTATAATTTTCAATATGCAGCGTTACACATCCAATGACTAATCATGATGCATTTTTGAAAATGTCTTTAATCTACTTTCACTTATAATGGATGGTTTGGCTGGGCATAGCGTTTTAGACTAGAAATTACTTTCCTTGAGAATTCTGACACTGATCAGTTTTATTGACGCGTCCAGTCATTGTGCAAAAGCATTCTGATTCTAGGTCCTCTGTATACAAACTGCTTGTTTTCTGTCAGCACTCAGAGGCTCTCGTCCTCTGTGGGGTCAGAAACTTCCCACATGCTTTGGTGGCACTCTATTCTCATCCAACGTACAGGGCACATTATGGCCCATTTGGTCTACACTTAGCGCTCTGTCATGAGAAATTTCTTTTATGATTTTCTCTTTTACCTCACATTCCCTAATTTAGGTTATCCAAAACTGGGTATTCTCGTCATCTACTCCTGTATGACAAGCCCAAAACTTGGCAACTTAAAACAGGAGCCATTTTATTTCTACGCAATTGTTTGAGTCAGAAACCTGAGCACTGCCTATTGAGGAGGTTCATCGCTTTTCCACACGGTGTCACCCAGGGTGGGTCAGCTGAGGCCAGAGGATTCATAATGGCTTCATCACATGCCTGCAGTTTGGGTACTGGCTTTTGACTAAGACACCTTCCTCGTGGTTGCTTCGTATGGCCTCGGTCACTTCGGCTAGCTTCCAGAAACAAGAAAATGGGAGCTGCAGAGCTCTTTAAGGCCTGGGCTGAGAAGCTACATCACTATGTCATGGTTTGATTGGACCCTCAAAGTTCATGTACTGAGATTTGGTTGTGATGGGTTTAAGATGGTGAAACTTAATCCGACAATGGTTTTAAAAGATGGAACCTTTAAAAAGGAGATTAGAATTAAGGTCATTTGGCCATGAATGACTCCTGGTGGGATGAGAAGGAGAGGAAATGAGTCAAGACACAGACACGAGGGCTCCTGACCTCCCCAGGCTGTAATTCAGCCAGAAGACCCTCACCAGGTGCAGCTTCTAGACCTTGGTCCTCTAAGCCAGGAACTGAATAAACCTCTACTTTATAAATTACCCAAACTCAGGTATTTTCTGTTATTAGCAGTAGGATGGACTAGAACCGCCATTCTCATTGCATTCCATTATCATATAAATTCTTTTATACCATTTGAGCTGGCTATAGGGAAGAACAAATTAAATCCATGTGATCATTCTGTCATCTTTAACTAGAATTATTTTCTACTGCACATAATTTTAATCTTTAATACTACAGCTCCTGTTATAAATTACTTGAGTTACATGCGATAACTCACTGGGCACCACAGTAAACTGAAATCTCAAAACAGAAGATCAAAGTGGTCTGGCACAGAATTTTTCAGTACACTAAGAGTTTTTTTAAGCCAGCAAGATCAATCAATTCATCTCAACCAAGCAGGTTACTCATGAATAATTTAAGAGTGCTGTTTCAAATAAACCATAGTGCTAATAGCATGATTCCTTTGATTTTATAACACATTTCTCTCAGACTCTTTTAAGATTCAGAAAGAAAGCATTATGATTCCACAATTTCCTACATTTTCTTAAGAGAAAGATCTCTTGCCTACTGTAAATTTTCTATTACCCAGTTTGGATAAGAAATCAATGGAGAGACCAACAGATGGCATAATGGTTATGTTGCTGTACTCCCATGTGGTCAACTATGGTTCGAGTCCTGGACCCAGCAACTTAAAACTCATGCCAGGCACATGTGCATGCCCAAGATCCCAAGAGAAGAATGGAGAAGAAGAGATTGTGGCATGGTCAGCCCCCGGGGTGGGGAGGGGGGTGATTTCATGCATTGCTTAAAAGTAATACATATTATCTGAAATAATACAATGCAACTTACTGAGACCAAAACAGAAATAAACAAAATATATCCACAATGCAAAGACATGACTTCCTCTGTGCAATTAAGCATTTCTCTCTGAACTAAAAACCTCCAATGGAATCTTCCATTGAAGAAGAAAGAAAACAGTTTCTGAAGTTCTCCTTAACTTATAACACAAACTCCTAATTACATGTTAATGTTAAAATTTTAGTATCTATATATGTATTTAATTTCTATATTAAAAATATTTATGAAGGAGCCAGCAGGTGGCACGGTGGCTAAGGGTGCTGGACTCCCACATGGCCGACTACAATTCAAGTCCCGAATCTGGCGGCTTGCTTTCTCACTTTCCCTCCTCTTCTCTCTCACTCTGTCTCTTTCTGGCCAAATTAAAATAAATAAATAATAAAGTTAAATATAATAATTATTTAAAAAGTACTTGTGAAGGAAATTTTATGGGATAAATTCTTCCATAAATGGGCTCTCATAATAATACTGCTTCTATTTATTGGCATTCCTCAATTATTCTGATGGTATAAGAAGTAGATAGGTGAGCAAAAATAATCACAGATTATTACTTTGCAGTACTAAAATAATAATAAAATATTTATCAGTGAAACAGTAACAAGCTACTTAAAAGCATATACTATACTGCCTAGAGAACGGACTAGCCTATCTCTTTCCTAAGTCAAAAGAATGCTCAAGAATTTTATAAATGATTTAACAAAAGACACCGTTCTCCTTGAAGTTGACACCGAGCAAACCTAAAACTAGAATGGCCTGAATAAGCGATCATGTAGCATGAAAAAGGAGTTACACTCAGCTTTCAAATTTAAGTTTTAACTAAGTAAATGAATGTCACGCAGATAATATGAAAAGATAAATAACAATTCTATCGGGAAAAATCTAAACAAGATAAACAAACACCTCTACATACTCGCAAGAAGGCTACTGCAAAGTCACTTGCCATTTCTGCGGGGAGGCTTCTGTGCTGCCATGGGCGGGCAGGCCTGCGCGGGTGCGGCCTCTGCAGCGGCAGCTGAGTGTGATGACCCTTTACTGTGTCACCCCAGCTGACCCCCGTGGGAGCCAGACGGGGTGTAGCCACTGTGCCAGGGGAACCCCTATGCAGAGAAGTGAAAACCTTTGATAAATTAAAATGGAAGTATTATATTTAAATTTTAATATCTTTAAATTTTAAATTAAGAATATATGTGTGTGCAGGTATGTGTCCATGTATACAACATCACTCACTTTCACAGGAATTTAAGGTAACTACATTCATAAATTTATCCTAATACTTCATTAATTTTTATGGAGTACGACATTTTACAAAGTGTGGGAGCAAAGAAAAGAGAATAAGAGAGGCCAGCAGGTGGCGTGGCAGTAAGGCACCGGATACTCCCACATGGCCAACCACAGTTCGAGTCCCAGCTTGCTTTCTCACTGTCCTTCTCTGTGTCTCTCTCTGGTCAAATTAAAATAAATGAGTGAATACAAAATTAAATACATAACTTTTTTTAAAAAAGAAAAGGGAATAAGAATGATATACAAACCCTCACCGGTTATTTAGAAGAAAAATACACTTAAGTGGGGAATCTTTATAAAAATTTTGCATAGATATCTTAAACTTATTTTTATTCATGTGTTTTAACAGTATAAATGTTCATTAATTTGCCGATCTTGATGTGAGTATTAAAACAGCTTTTCTAGGGCCGGCAAGTGGCATGGTGGATAAGGGCGCTGGATTCCCACATGGCCAACCACGGTTTGAGTCTCAGACCTGGTGACTTGCTTTCTCACTTTCCCTCTTTTACTCTCTCTCTCTCTGTCTTTCTGATCAAATTTAAATAAATAAATAAATAAAATGAATGAATAACTAAAATTAAATAAATAATAAAAAAAAAAAAAAAACCAGCTTTTCTATGCCTCCATTTCTTTCATGAACCACGAGTACAAGGCTTCGCTGACATCTAATTCTGGTTCCTTCAACGTGACGTAAAAATTCAGTGGCACCCACTGAAGAGTTTAATGGCAATTATCCTCAACCTTAATATTTTCCCCAGGCCCTCACAATTGTCCTAGTCACTCCACATTTGACAACAATTTTATTTCAATAGTTCACCTTCATCAAAGTTTTCCCAAAACTTACCTTAGTTTTCATACAAACAATGCCTTCTTTTCATACTCACACTTCATTGGTTTATTTAATGGTCAAATTATGAATTAAAATAATGAAAACAATTTACACAAACCAAGCTTGGCCACCTCTACATACTCGCAAGAAGGCTACTGCAAAGTCACTTGCCATTTCTGCGGGGAGGCTTCTGTGCTGCCATGGGCGGGCAGGCCTGCGCGGGTGCGGCCTCTGCAGCGGCAGCTGAGCCTGTGTGATGAGCCTTTACCTTGTCAGCCCAGCTGACGCCCGTGGGAGCCAGACGGGGTGTAGCCACTGTGCCAGGGGAACCCCTATGCAGAGAAGTGAAAACCTTTGATAAATTAAAATGGAAGTATTATATTTAAATTTTAATATCTTTAAATTTTAAATTAAGAATATATGTGTGTGCAGGTATGTGTCCATGTATACAACATCACTCACTTTCACAGGAATTTAAGGTAACTACATTCATAAATTTATCCTAATACTTCATTAATTTTTATGGAGTACGACATTTTACAAAGTGTGGGAGCAAAGAAAAGAGAATAAGAGAGGCCAGCAGGTGGCGTGGCAGTAAGGCACCGGATACTCCCACATGGCCAACCACAGTTCGAGTCCCAGCTTGCTTTCTCACTGTCCTTCTCTGTGTCTCTCTCTGGTCAAATTAAAATAAATGAGTGAATACAAAATTAAATACATAACTTTTTTTAAAAAAGAAAAGGGAATAAGAATGATATACAAACCCTCACCGGTTATTTAGAAGAAAAATACACTTAAGTGGGGAATCTTTATAAAAATTTTGCATAGATATCTTAAACTTATTTTTATTCATGTGTTTTAACAGTATAAATGTTCATTAATTTGCCGATCTTGATGTGAGTATTAAAACAGCTTTTCTAGGGCCGGCAAGTGGCATGGTGGATAAGGGCGCTGGATTCCCACATGGCCAACCACGGTTTGAGTCTCAGACCTGGTGACTTGCTTTCTCACTTTCCCTCTTTTACTCTCTCTCTCTCTGTCTTTCTGATCAAATTTAAATAAATAAATAAATAAAATGAATGAATAACTAAAATTAAATAAATAATTATTTCAAAAAAAAAAAAAAAAAAAACCAGCTTTTCTATGCCTCCATTTCTTTCATGAACCACGAGTACAAGGCTTCGCTGACATCTAATTCTGGTTCCTTCAACGTGACGTAAAAATTCAGTGGCACCCACTGAAGAGTTTAATGGCAATTATCCTCAACCTTAATATTTTCCCCAGGCCCTCACAATTGTCCTAGTCACTCCACATTTGACAACAATTTTATTTCAATAGTTCACCTTCATCAAAGTTTTCCCAAAACTTACCTTAGTTTTCATACAAACAATGCCTTCTTTTCATACTCACACTTCATTGGTTTATTTAATGGTCAAATTATGAATTAAAATAATGAAAACAATTTACACAAACCAAGCTTGGCCACTATGAAACCCTCTGTCAACTCGTCAGAACACTAAGCTAACAGACATAACTTGACCAGCAGAAGCAGGGTGACCAGTGGGACCACGGGTGGCCCATGAGCCACAACTGGCCAGTAAGCTGACAGGTGATGAAAACTGTCGGCTACCCCATGGCACAGCTAGTGTGATCGGCGGGAGAACCTCTCACCACACGTGCACTAGCTCCCGGTGCTAAAGCAAGCCGTGCACTTACACGTACTCTGAGTCAAAGACTAACGGGGCTTGAACGTAAAAATATTTTCGTGTTCATACACACACAGAGATACACACATATACATATGGATGTACACTTTTCCCCATTCTTACTAAGGTCTGTTACATGGTTCCAAGGTTCATCAACCTTCACCAAAGGCAATACTACCTAATAACTGCATAAAAGAAATGGAAAATGAAAGTGTGATTCTATTGACTGGTCAATCAGCTTTCACAAAGTACCAGGTACAGTGCTGGGTGCTTGGAATACAGAAATACAGCAAAGTCTTACCTCAAAGAAGGTCATAGTATAAGTGGAAAAAAAAAAAAAGACATCAAAAAATTTCCACACGTGGCAAATGTAACAATGCAAACACATCAAAACGTAAAAGTTGGTAACTGTCTTGGGGTAGAGGGACGATAAGAAGCAGTCAAGAAAGGTTAGGTTTCCACACCCCAGTGAGAATGCGCTCGCTCGCTCGCTCTTTAGCTCATTCACTCACTCTCTTTCATATGTCCTCTAAAATTTTTTTTTTAAAAAAAGTTAGTTGTGTTTTTTTTGTTTTTTTAACAGAGATTTTTTGCTATTGGTCACATGCACTTGTCAGAGAGACAAGAGACAGAAGATAGAAAGCGAGAAACAGGCCATGCCACAATCCCTTCTCCTCCATTCTCATCTTGGGATCTTGGCACACACGTACACGCACCTGGCATGAGTTTTAAGTCACCAGGTCCAGGACTCAGAACCCCAGTTCAGACTAAGTGGGAGTCCAGTGACATAACGATAACGCCATTTGCTGGCCCCAAGAGGTTACGTTTTTAACAAAGGAAAGAGAACTAACCAAGCACGGCGTTTACTAAACCCTCTGTTACACATCAAATAGTAAGACCTATTCTAAAGAATTAGAATCTAACAAATATCTGTCCTAAAAGCAAATTCCCCCAGGGACATTTGTGGAACACAAATATGACAATGTTTAACATCATAACTACCAGAGGCAGCAATACCATTTGAGATAAATACAGAGCTGAACAAAAAACTTAGGAAGCTGGAGAGTGAGGTGCCCAGAGGGGCCTTTGGAAAGCTCCAACATATTCCTGACAATAGGCGGCCACACCCATGTGCGGGTTATGTGCATGCCCAGGGAAGAGCTGAGGGCACCACTCTCTCCTCTCTGATCAGCCTGAGGCTCTGAGGGAGGAGGAAGTGGTGTCAAAGGCAGACATGTGAACTGCAGACGCTGAAAGTGTGTCCCAACAGACACGCAGAACCACGCTGGACTAAGGCTGCGGGCTCGTGCTATTTACGGAACCCTCTGTCAAATCATTAGAACACTAAGCTACCTAGAGACTTAGTGGCTACACATAACGAAGAACAGAGATGTCACAGATTACTTCCAAAAAGTCACTACACTAACAGTAACGACAACGAAAAGTCACAGTAATGATCCGGGAGAGGGCAGCAATCTTTTCCCCAGAGCTATCAAATTTTATTATCTAAAATAACTAGTTTTTAGCACAAAAGTGACAAGATGATCAAATAAACAGAAAAGTACAGGCCATTCATAAACAGAAAAACTGTAATAGGAAGTCAGTCATTGGACACAGTACACAAAGATTTTTAAATCAATTACAACAATGACATATAAAGAACAACGAAAAGCAAAGGGAAACCTTATCTAATGAACTAAGGAAAATATGAGAACAAAGTTTCATCAAATACAGAATATCAATAAAAAGAAATTAAGTATAGAAAGAACCACACAGATGTCGATGGAGTTGAAAAGTAAAACAAACAATTCACGATGGGAGCTTGACGGTAGACCTGAGCTGGTAGAAAGATCGGTCGCAATTACCCAGTGCGTGAGACAGAGCAGCTGACAGGCCTGTGAGTACCAAGATGTGCACACTGGGATTCTTAGAGAACAGGAGGGAGAAAAAGGACAGAAAAAATATTTGAAGCAATAACAGATAAAACTTCCAAATCTGATGAAAAGCACCAATCTACACATCCAAGATACTCACTTGGATGAGACCAACCGAGATACATCCTGATTAAACTACTGCAAGCCAAACATGGAGAGTGCACCTTAAAAGTTCTGAGAGAGAAAGAACACATCATATTAAAGCATCCTAGGTAAGAAATGACAGCTGATTTCTGATCAGAAACCATGGAAGCCAAAAGCCAGTGTGATGCCATATTCAGAACTCTGAAAGGAAAAGACTGGTAACCAAGGATTCCATGTACTGCAAAACTATCCTTCAAAAACTGATGGATAAATTCAGGTATTCCCAAATAAACAAAATTGAGAAGTTGGCCACCAGCAGACCTGCCTGACAAGATATACTAAAGGGAGTCTTCAGCTGAATGAGCAGACAGTAGGCCTGACGTGGCCCCAGAAGTAGTAAATACCACCAGAGAGGTGTTTACGGTCCTCCCCTGGGACTACTATCTGGTGGATACTTTTTCCCTCCCAGAGGGTGGCAGTGGTGCACAGTATTCTATTTAACACACAACAATGTGCATGGATATTTCATACTGGAATCTGATATATAATATTGTAAGTATATCATCTAAAAAAAATTACTGTGATGTAAACTTTAGTAGGCTTTTAAAGTTTATCTCACCCAAAATTTAAGCTTCTTCGAGCATTTGATGTTGCACTTATCCTATCTGTTGATGGACTTGGAATCACATGGCGTCCTGGAGACATCTTCTTCACTTCCCACGCCAAGGAGGTTGGTCTGCCAATTCAAGACACATGGAGATTAAATTCACAGAGAACAGGGAGAACAAACTAGTCTTCTATGTGGTCCAATGGTGAAAATGTAACCAGATCACAATTTTACCCTAGAGCATTACTTATCAGAGCTACCTGGGAACTTTCTATTATTACCAGTGAAAAACACAGATGAGGCATGGCCCAAGATTTTCCACCCGCTGCAGCACAGTGACAGAACTTACTTAACTCAAGAGGTCATGGGTTACGGAGACATGAGAAATGCTACTTATGATCTGCAAGCCTCCTGTGTCCAGCTGGAGAACAATAAAAAGGCAATGGTACTATTTTAGGTGGATTGTGTCTGACGTCCTGGAAAGTGTTTGTGAACCAGGGATTAAGACAGAAAGAAAATGGTGAGATGATATGAAAAATACACAGAAAAATATGAAGTTTCCTTCCTCTACGTGCTACTACCCAAGAGTGTGTGAACATAAAGATTTCACTCTTCTCTGCTGGGAATGGGAAGAGATGTAACCTCCAGCCCTCCCCCTTCACTGGCCCCACAACCAGCCAGCTGGCAGGGTACACAGTATCTACTACAATTAAAGTTCCGTAAGCAACATCTTCTCTATCCCCATGCCCTCAATCAGATCCCTATCAATCCCCCGGGTCTCCCTGTGTCTATTTCCATTCAATTTAGTATCTATGATTCCCCCCTTCATTAAAAATGTGATAGTGTTTGGCCATCCTGTGGCATGGTGGTTAAGGTGGCTGGATCCCACATGATCAACTGTACCATTCAAGGCCCAGACCCAGGACCTTGAAACACACACTGGGTGCATGTGCATTCCCAAAACCCTGGAAAGAGAAATGGAGAAGGATTTGTGGTATGACCATTCCCCATGGGGGGGTGCTTTCTCATACTCTCTCTGTTTCTCTCTAGCAAGTACACAAACCCTGTAGAAACAATTTTTTTTAAATAATGTGATATTGTTAGGAAACAAGAAAATTTAGATAAACTGTTATTCAAAAGTCTAAAGCTCTGCACAATTCATTGCCAAATTATCTTTCACAAAGATTCTAACTATTACAGATAAAGAATATTCATTTCCCTTAGACCTTGACAACAGTTGGTATGTTCTTCTAAAATCTGCATAGGCAAGGATGAGCCCTGTAGCACAGTGATTTAAGTGATGCAGAGGAAGCTGGGTACCACATTGCTGAGCAGGGTTTGAGTCCCAGCTTGAAAACTATGCTGATGGGAACCAGCAGTTAGCGTAATGGCTATGTCGCTGGACTCCCACGTAGTCAACCGCGGTTCACGTCCCGGACCCGGTGGCTTAAAACTCACGCCAGGCGCGTGTGCGTGCGTGCCCAAGATCCCGAGAGGAGAATGGAGGAGAAGGGATTGCGGCGTGACCATCCCCCCTGGGGGGTGATTTCTCGCTTTCTGTCTCTATGTCTCTCTCTGTCTGTCTGGCGAGTGCACGCGCCCTACAGTGAAAATCTGTCCAAAAAAAAAAAGAAAAGAAAACTATGCTGAGCATGCGAGTGCAGGCCCAGGGCTAAGACTGGACTAAGAGGTCTGGCGGCAGCCATCAGGTAAGCCAGGATGGGCGTGTACAAGTACATCCAGGAGCTGTGGCGGAAGCAGCAGTCTGATGTGATGTGCTTTCTCCTGCGGGTCTGCTGTGGGCAGTACCGCCAGCTCTCGGCGCTACACCGGGCACCCCACCCCACCTGGCCAGATAAAGCACGCAGACTGGGCTACAAGGCGAAGCAAGGTTATGTCATACACAGGATTCATGTGCAGCGTGGAGGCCGCAAATGCCCAGTCCCCAAGGGTGCAGCCTACAGCAAGCCTGTCCATCATGGTCTTAACCTGCTCAAGTTTGCTCGAAGCCTCCAGTCTGTTTCAGAGGAGTGAGCTGGACGCTACTGTGGGGCTCTTAGAGTCCTGAATTCTTACTGGGTGGGTGAAGATTCCACGTACAGATTCTTTGAGGTTATCCTCATTGATCCAATCCATAAAGCTGTTGGAAGAAACCCTGACACCAGGGGATTATCAAACCAGTCCACAAGCACAGGGAGACGTGTGGGCTGACATCTGCAGGCCACAAGAGCCGAGGCCTGACTCTTGCCATGCAGCTTGGAGAAGGTACGATACTCTCCAGCTCCCCTGTTACCGCTATTCTAAGACATGTTTGTAAAATTCATACCTAATAAACAATTTAGGTCAAAAAAAAAAAAAAAAAAGACTGGATTAAGAATGTCGGAAGAAAAAGGATTGCAGCACTACCAAGCCCTACTGGAGGGTGCGTTCTCGTTCTTTCACACATGCTCATTCGTACACGCATGTGCACACACAGCTTCTGGCATTTACAACAATTCACAGACAGGTGTTTTACTGTCTTTGTTTTTTAAAGTTGTAATTTTTTTTAGAGAGAGGTTTTCGCTATAGGGCATGTGCGCTCACCAGAAAGAGACAGAGAGAAAGAAAGCGAGAAATCACCCCCTGAGGGGGGATGGCCACATCGCAATCCCTTCTCCTCCATTCTCCTCTTGGGATCTTGGGCATGCACGCACCAGCACCTGGCATGAGTATAAGCCACCAGGACCAGGACTCGAGCCACGGTCGACTACATGGGAGTCCAGCGACATAGCCATTACGCCAACTGCTAGTCCCATCCACGTGGCCAATCTTTATCAACTTAAATTTCACTCCCTCAGGGAAGCTGTCAGGCTGGTAGTGCTTCTTTTTACACTCCGAGAGTAAACTACATTTCTTTTTGGTGACACCTTGCACACTTGTATTTACTGAACATCAGTCTTTCCTGCTAGAAATGCACGGTCTTCATCTATTCGGACTGCTGTGGCAAAATACCTTACACTGGGTAGCAGACATTTCTTTGTCACTGCTCTGGAGGCTGGGACAACCAATATCAAGGCACTGGTAGCCATGAGGTCTGGTGAGGGTCCTGCTCCTCTCAGAAGGCACCTCCCAAATGCAACTCACATGGCTGAAAGGAGAAAGCTCCCCTCTCTGTTATAAAGTCACTAATTCCGTTCCAGACTGAATCACTTCCTAATGGCCCTACTTAGTACAAGCACACTGGTGACTGCCGGTGAATTCAGAGGGACTCACTGAGACCACAGTCTGCTCGGTGCACTCAGTGACAGCAGGGACTGTGTCCTCCTTCACCACAGCGGTTCCAGAGCCTGATGCACAGCACTCAGACACCGTGTGAGATACTGCTGATACCAAGTGACTGTTTCTAAGGGAACTTGGGTCTTTCATTACTTCCCAAATCAAAAATCATCAATTTTCCTCAATGCCCGCTACACTAAGAAAAACATCTCTTCCTACATTACTTTTTCTTTTTGTTTTTTTGAGTGGTTTTTCCTATAGGGCGCATGTGCTCGCCAGAAAGACAGAGAGACAGAAAGCAAGAAATCACCCCCCAGGGGGGTGGCCATGCCGCAATTCCTTCTCCTCCATTCTCCTCTCAGGATCTTGGGCATGCACGCACACATGTGCCCGGTGTGAGTTTAAACCACTGGGTACGGGACTCACACCGTGGTCGACTACATGGGAGTCCAGCAACATAGCCATGATGCCACCTGCTGGTCCCTACGTTACTCTTCCTTCACGCGTGCTCTGTGTTTACACAGCTGTTTAATTTACCCCATCCACATGAAAGGCCAGACACTAGGGAAAGTCCAAGACGTCGCTCAGACATGTCTACACCCAACATGTGGTCTTTCCCGATCTACCCCTGGAAAAAGACACGCCCTCGTCTGAACCTCCATAACAGTCTTCCGTACTAGTAAGTCCTACTGTACACCCCTTAGACTGTAAGTTCCAGGAGAGTAGTAAATGGGCCATACTCAGTTATTAAACTGCTCTACTGAACAGAGTGTCCTGCCCTGGTAGGTAACTAATAAATATCTGTTACTGACCTAAATGAGAAACGCAGCACCCAACTTTCAGATTTTGACAAGCTTCAAGTCCCTGTGAAGTGCAGCCCACTGTCAGTGTCAACGACTGCTACTGAAGCAGCCTGCTGCTGTCAAGATCAAGACCAGAGCTGGTTACCTGCTTTGAGCATCTGACTTCTCTAGCTTTTCCTGAAGCTGAATCCAATCAATCAGCGCTTTGAAATCTCTCACATAGTTATCCAGCATCATCAGCACCTCCTAATTCAAAACAAACAAGAACATTACAATTCCACTATGACACTACAAAGATTCAAGGAAAAGCTAGTAAGGGATTTCAGAGTTAGTCATTTTCACATGTTCTCTTCATTGAAGAAACTACATAACCTACTGATTGTGGTCTCAGTTTTTGTTTTTTGTTGTTTTAGTACTCCCACTAGGGTAAACAGCCCAACTATATCTTCTCTTGGAGAGGTTTTTGCTATAGGGCACGTGCACTTGCCAGAAAGACAGAGAGACAGAGACAGAAAGCAAGAAATCACCCCTCCGGGGGGATGGCCACACCACAATCCCTTCCCCTCCATTCTCCTCTCGGGATCTTGGGCACACACGCACACGCGCCTGGCATGAGTTTAAGCCACCAGGTCCAGGATCAAACTGCGGCCAAGTACATGGGAGTCCAGCGACATAGCCATTATGCTAACTGCTGGTCCCACCCCAACTATATCTTTGACATTAAGGTTGCCTAACTAATCACACTCCTTTACAATTCCATATAAACTTTAGAATCAACTTGTCAATTACTGGCGGAAAGGTGAAATTTAAATGGCAATTATACCGACTACAGATCAACACAAAGAAAACCGGCATTTTACACTATTGACTCTTTTGGTCCACGAATAAGTATATACTTCCATATATCTGCATCTTGTTCAACGTCTCTCGATAATGTATTGTGATTTTCTATGCAGAGACTTCACATCTATTAAATTTAACCCTAAGAGTAAATGGTAGGGGTTTTTGTTTGTTTTTTGCCATAGGGCACATTTACTCACCAGAGAGAAATACAGAGACGCAGAAAGAAAGTAAAAAGTCACTCCCATGGGAGACAGTCACACTGTAATCCCTTCTCCTCCATTCTCTTCTCGAGATTTTGGGCACGCACACGCGCACACACGCACGTGCACACACACACACACACCCAGCATGATTTTCCAGCTACTGGGTCCAGAACTCAAACCATCGTTGGCCATGCGGAAGCCCGGCACCTCTACCACACCACCTGCCGGCCCCATGGTAGCTCTTATTTTTTTCTTTTTCATTTTCTATTAATGTCGATTTGTGTATTTTGAACTTGTATCCAGCAATTTTTTTTTTTGGAGAGGTTTTTTTGCTATAGGGTGCGTGCGCTTGCCAGACAGACAGAGACATAGAGACAGAAAGCGAGAAATCACCCCCCGGGGGGGATGGTCACGCCGCAATCCCTTCTCCTCCATTCTCCTCTCGAGATCTTGGGCACGCACACACACGCGCCCGGCGTGAGTTTTAAGCCACAGGGTCCAGAACGCGAACCATGGTCGACTACATGGGAGTCCAGCGACATAGCCATTACGCTAACTGCTGGTTCCCAAAGCATTGTCCAGGACTCGAACCGCAGTCGTTGCCATGTGGGAATCCAGCCACCTTAACCTTCACACCATCTGCTGGCGCTATCTAGCAATTTTAATTTACTCAATACTCCCAATCATTTCTCTTTAGATTCTTCTAGATTTTCTAAATATATATACAGGCCAACTATGAATGGTGACATATTTATTTCTTCCTCTCCAATCTTTACATCTTTTATATTTTATTCTAGCCTTTACAGGCTTGGCAGGATCTAAAATATTGGGTTGTCAGGAAAGACATGATGCATTTTTGCACAGAAAAACGTAAGTCATTACTTTCCTCATGACCTAATACGATGTTGAGTGAAAATAACAGCAGCAAGCGTTCTTGTTTCACTCCAAATTTTGGAGATGAATTCCACCATTAAATATGATGTTTACTATAGGTATTTTTTAATGATTCTTTTTTTTTTAAAGAATTATTTATTTTATTTATTCATTCATTTATCTTAATTCGACCAGAGAAAGACAGACACACAGAGAGAAGGAAAGTGAGAAAGCAAGCCACCAGGTCCAGGACTCAGTCGTTGGCCACGTGGGAATGTCTAGCGCCTTAACCACCACGTCCCCTGCTGGCCCTTGAAATGATTCTTTATGAAAGTTCCTTTTAATACCAGTTTGCAAAAGTTTTATCATGAATAGGTATTAAATTTCATCGAACATTTTCCCTAAGTCCACTGAGACAAATCATGTGCTTAACTAATTTGGTAAACAACATTTACGTGACATTCAAATGTTAAACTGACTTCTACTCGGTGTCTGGAAAGTCACGACGCATCTCTCTGTTTCCTATGCACAGATGAAAAGTGACTCTCCTGACACCCGACAGTCCTGGGTACAGCTAACTTGACTGTAATGCGCTGTCCCATTATTTGTCTTTAATTTCACCATAGGGCATGTGCAGTCACCAGAAAAAGACAGGAAGTGCAGGCAAGAGTGAGAAAGCACAACCCCCCCACGGACCAGCAGTTGGCATAATGGCTGTTACTGGACTCCCACGTAGTCAACCACGGTTCGAGTCCCAGACCCAGTGGCTTAAACTCACACCGGGTGCATCTGCATGAGTGCCCAAGATCCTGAGAGGAGAATGGAGGGGAAAGGATTGCGATGTGGCCATCCCCCCTGGGGGGTGATTTCTCACTTTCTGCCTCTTGGTCTCTCTCTGTCTTTCTGACAAGCGCACACGCCCTACAGCAAAAAACCTCTCAAAAAATAAAAAACATTAGCAAGCACTCTCCCCATTGGATATGGTCATGTAGCAACCCTGCTCCCCATCTCTCCGTCCTTTTGGATTTTGGTCATGGGGGCACACACCTGGCATATATCTCAAGCCACCAGGTTCAGGACTAAAGCCATCAATTGGCCATGTGAGATCTAGCCACCTTAACCACACCACCAACTGGCCTGCTGTTTTTCATAAATACCTTTTATCAGATTGAGAAAGTTCCCTATTTCTAGTTTGTTGAGTGTTTCTGTCATGAACAGATGCTAGCTTTTGTGAATGCTTTTTTTGCATCCACAGAGATGATCATGGAATCTTTTCTTCTCCCTTCATTCTATTAATATGGTCTATTTATAAACTGATTTGCATATGGTGAGCTCTCTTGAATTCCTGGGATAAATCCTCCTTGGTCCTGGTACATAATTCTGGTGCTGCTAGATTTGCTTTGTTAGAACTTTGCTGAGGATTTTTGTGCCTGTATTTGTAAGAGAAACTGCTTTACTGTCACTATTTTCAATTTACACAGAACCCTATACATAAAGTTTTTTCTTATGTACAATCTATGGTAAAGTTTTATTTGTAAATTGTACATAACAGTTTAACAACAGTAACCAATAACTACATAGGGCAAATATAATATAGTGTTATAAAAATTACATGAATGCGGTGTGCTTTATTTTTTTCTAAGATAAAGTTATTTAATTTTTATTTATTATTATTTTTTTAAATCTTGTTATAGGACATGTACACTCACTAGAATGAGACAGAGAGGGGAAGCAAGACAGCAAGCCGCCAGGTCCAGGACTTAAACTGTGATAGGCCAGCCATGTGGGAGCCCAGCGCCTTTAGCCCCGACGCCACCTGCCGGCTCCAGAAATCAATATTTCCTATGTAACTGATACAAAGCTAAACACATCAAAGGCGGCTCTTGCGTGACTTAAAGCCAATCTTCAGTACTGTGATGGGGTGTCTGCTTACTGTTACCAAATCAACACCTCCTCTGACGCTGAGCTGCCAAGACAGATCAAAAACTGACTGGATCTGGGCCGATCCTGCAGCGCAGGCGTTAAGTGCTCTGTACGTAGAAAGCCAGATCCCGCCTGGCCAACCAGTTTGAATCCCGGCTCCAGTGGCCTGAAAACCATGCTAGGCATGTGTGCAAGCACGCCTAGAACCCCGATGTGATGGAGAGACGGGGGAGATGGGCTGCGGCGTGACCGGTCTGCTGCAGCGGGGGCACGCACATTCTCTCCTGTGCATGTACACTTCCTCTCCCTCGGTCTGGCAAGCACGTGCACCCTCTGACAATTAAAACCGACTGGGTTTGACAAAGAGTCAGTTTGAAATGGACCAGAATAAGTGCATCATTTGCATACACTGTACACAGTCATGATAATTACCACTGCTGAACTCTACTTTTCTCCCTTAGATAATTCAGAATCACATCACTGAGACAAGACATTTTACACATCCGTCAAAGATCATTTTCTTAGCATTAGTTGTGCATCTTAATAGCAGTTGACATTTTATGTAAGAAAAGAATGTAAACGCACAGGTGACAGAGATCCAACGCCAGGGTTCAGGAAGAAGAAACTGATACTGAGAGTGACTGTGTAAGTATTGGTGCATCGACCAAAATTGTTAGTGAAATGCTCAAGGCGAAGAACTTCCACGCATACTCGCTTTACGGGTCTCAGACCATTCTTGCCTTACCATAAGACATACCTGTCCCAGGACCAGCAGATGGCGTAATGGCTGTGCTGCTAGACTCCCATGTATTCGACCGCGGTTCAAGTCCCAGACCCGGTGGCTTAAGCTCATGCTGGGCGTGTGTGTGTGCATGTGTACCCAAGATCCCGAGAGGAGAATGGAGGAGAAGGGATTGTGGCATGGCCATCCCCCCTGGGGGTGATTCTCACTTTCTGTCTCTCTTGTCTCTGTCTTTCTGGCAAGTGCATGCACCCTATAGCAAAAACCTCTAAAAAAAGACATACCTGCCTCACCTTATTGTAAAGACAACTTCCCAATAATCTCAGAAAATGACCATCAGAAATTCCAAAAGGCTATAAAAATAATCATCTGTATTGTAAGTACCATCACTTTTCCGGAGCGAAGTCTGAGATAGACTGGAGTGTCAGTGGCACGCAAAGACCTCTGAAAATACTTCTCACCTACAAGTGTTTTAGAAGATATAAATACACTTTGTAAATTAGACCCAGCGAATAATAAATGTTTAAGAAATTATTCACATGTGATATATAACACCGCCCTTACTTTAGTCATAAAAGTTACATACTTTTCTAAACAAAGAAGGATGGTTTATTTCCTCTCCAAAGCATTCTTGGGGACAAATCATGGTAATAAAGTCTTCTAAAGTCAGGAAAAGGACAAATCTTAAAATGTAGTTGGCTTCCTGTTCTCAATTCTGCTAACATGATTCAGATTATTTCATTAAATTCATTTGATTCAAATCACCTACATTCGGGCTCAGAAAGATTTCATTCAGAATTAAATCTTAAATTATTTTGAAAGTTTTCTACTGATTTCCCTTTCTGCTAAAAAAATAAATGAACAAGCAGGAGTATAAGCAGCCTTCCTTCTCATATTGGATGGCACAGGGGAAGTACACTTGGGGACTTAAACGGCCTATTTCAGGAATGTTTAGCTCGACGTTATCAAAAGTGATCGGAGCGGGACATGCAGCTGTAACCCGAGTCCTGTTCCACGAACAAGGGAACACAAACAAGACAAGCAGCTGGAGCAAGCCGCGGTCACTGATGCACGTCTCCCCCGAAGCCATGAAGGCCATTTTGTCAAGCAGGATGGGACAGAACAAAAGTGGCTCTGAACGTAATGTTATAGGCATTCAGATAACCACACAGAGATGTACAGCTAAAATTACCAATTAGTTTACCAATTGGCTGCAACGGATTCGATTGGTTTGTAATTAATTCTAGTTACTGGCGCGCAGAGCAGGACTGTTGGCGCCATCCCTTTGTCCTCCTGACACACAATACTAGCGCACCGGCCCCTGGACCCGGGACATCAATACGGCCCTCCAACTCAGCTGAGCAACGGGCGCCCCGTGCACCCCTGAGTTGGTAAGGGGTGGGAACATGCACTGCATGAGAAGTCAGTGACAGAAAGGGAGATCTTTATGAGGAAAGGGCTTTACCAAAAGGGAGACAAGTTTTTAAAAGCATTAATTTTTCAACAATTATTTAATTTTACTTATTATTATTATTTTACTTTGACCAGAGAGGGACCAAAGTAGAGAGGGAATGTGAGAAAGCAAGTCGCAAGATCCGGAACTCGAACCGTGGTCAACCATGTGGGAGTCTAGCATTTTAAACACCATGCCACCTGCTGGCCCCAAAAAGCATTATTTTTTATCTCGTTTTTTAAACTACTGGGACAAATAGTTTAAAAGGACTATCATCTCAAAGCACAGTGGCAGGAAAGCATTTCCGAGACCCTCATTGGTGACACCACTCGCCATCTCAGGCGTGCTCCCAGTGTGTTCCCCGCGGTGTCCGCACACGGTCCTGGGACACTGAAATCACAGCACTACGGACCTCCAGCCAAGATGCCAGTCCCCTCTTCCTGCAGCCACACCCACAAACTCCAGAACCCGTTCTTTCAGGCTTCTCTTCAAACTGACGTGAGGACAAGCGGAGAGGTCACCACCTCATACCTGGGCACACCTCAAAGGCAACCTGGCCCTCACTCACCCTTTAGCCCACTTTGTAAGGGAGCAAGGGAGACAGGGGTGACGGAGTTTGGCTTTGCTGCAACGCCAGCTCTTAGCAAACCACGTGGTAAGGTGGCCAATGTCATCACGGGCACAACTTTAAATTAAAACACTCAACAAAGTGGCCTCTTTTGGTTACAGAAGTGGGGTCTGGCCAGCAATGCTAGGCAAAGAGAAAAGACTTTTCACTGTCGTGCTACACTTATAATGTGAATTACATAAATCAGGTGGTATTAACTGCATTTTACATGCGACATAAAACTGAAGTATTGTTATTTCACTAAAAACACAAAAATTCCCAATAGGAATAAATCCTCCAGTGCATCAGCAAAATAAATGCTGAATCCTCCTGCAAAATGAGGGACAAGTCTTTGGGTTATGTATCTCGTAAAAGTACTAACCAGACGAGATCATGGACGGCAGTGCTTCGATGAGAATACAGCAAAACAGACAGACAAGGGGGGCCGACGTGCGGTAGAGGCTCAAGTGCTGGATCCCACAGAGCCAACAGCACAGTTAGAGTCTGGGAAAGCAGCTTAAAAATCATGCTAGGCATGTATGTGTATTTGCCCATGATCCCAAGAAGAGAATGAGAAGGGGCTGTCATCCTCCCGGGGGGAGCGGGAGTAACTTCCTACTGCCCCCTGATCTCAGTCTCTCTCTGGCAAGCACACATGCCCTATTAAACACACACACACGAGGAAAGGGGGCCAGTTAAGCACTACACAGATGAAACCAGATTCCACACGGCCAACTGGGTTTGAATCCCAGACTCATCAGCTTGAAAAACATGCTGGCAACAAACCCTGTATCCAATTAAAAAAAAAAAAAAAAATGGGACCAGCAGGTGGCATGGTGCTTAAGGTGCTGGATACTCCCACATGGCAGACCACAGTTCAAGTCCTGGACCTGGCTGCTTGTTTTCTCCCTTTCCCTCTCTCTCTCTCCCTATCTGTGTCTCTCTCTGGTCAAATTAAAATAAATGACTAGATAAATATTTAAAAAGAAAAAAATTAAGGGACCGGCAGATGGTGTAGTGGTTACATCACTGGACTCCCACATGGCTAACTGCGGTTCGAGATCCAGACCTCGTGGCTTGAGAATCACACTGAGCACGTATGTGTGCATGCCCAAGATCCCCAGTGAAGAATGGAGGAGAAGGGGTTGCAGGATGGCCATCCCGCATGGGGAGTGAATTCTTACTTTCTCTCTCACTGTCTCTGTCCTCTCTCTCCCCCTCTCCAGCGAGCACACATACCTGTTTAAAAAAAAAAAAGGGAGGGGGCAACAGGTAGTGTGGTAGTTAAGGTGCTGGACTCCCACATGGAAAACCAGGGTTCGAGTTCTGGATATCTGATGTCTTGCTTTTTCACACTCCCTTTCTTTCTCTCGCTCTCTCTCTCTCTTTGGTCAAATTGAAAAATAAATAAATAAATAAATAAATAAATAAATAAATAAATGATTCTAAAAAGAAACTAATAACCTTCTAGATTTTATTTTTTATCGTAAACCTCTGAGCAGCTTTGCACGGTACAAAGAAAGGAGGATATATCTGTATTCCTCTCTTTGTCAAAACATTCTCTCCATCCTTCTAATCTACAATTTGGGTAACAAATCTCTATTAGCATGAAGCTTTCCCAGAGCTTGGATGAATGTGCGACCGAACCAGGAATAAAGCCCCCCTTGCTTGAGGGCACTTCCAGGTTCCTGAGACATAACAGCATCGGAGACAGGTGCAAGCATCTCTGCTCAGCGGAAAGAGACAAGAAAAATTGGCCAGTCTTTCTTTGGTAAAAAGTACACATTTCACAACTAAATTTGATTTCTTTAATCAGCCTTTTGTTATGGTAAATCACAAAATCTGCTGACCTGATTCTCTCCAGGGCTGACCTATAGATTTCCAGGCCTGTGTATGCTCTATATTTGCTTTTATTTATTTATATTTTTTAGGAGAGGTTTTTGCTATAGGGCACGTGTGCTCACCAGAAAGACTGAGAGAGACAGAGAGACAGAAAGTGAGAAATCACCCCCCCAGGGGGGATGGCCATGCCACAATCCCTTCTCCATTCTCCTCTCAGGATCTTGGGCATCCAGGCACACACACCCAGCGTGAGTTTAAGCCACTGGGTCCGGGACTCGAACTGCGGTTGACTACATGGGAGTCCAGCAACATGGCCATTACGCTAACTGCTGGTCCCCATTTGGCCCATATGCTCTATACACAAAAAAACTATAACCCAAAACTAAGCCCAGCAAAGTCCTCTCCCACAACATGCTGACTCGTTATACTCCAAGAATATGATTTGTCTTTCCACTATTTTTCTTAAGCCCTCGGAAGTTTTGACGTGCTGCTGGTAATGACATGAAGTGTGACATCCACATCATCAACGTGGACTCTGCCTCAACACCGTTCATTCTGAAATCTGCTTCTGATGAATTGGGTTTTTAAGCTAGTTTAAACTTATTTTGGCTGTTTCCAATTTAAGAGGAAATACAGCTGCTGTCTGAACATGTAACTTTTATTTGACCTTTCATACATTTCAAAGGCTAAATAATGAATTCCAGGGTTTTCAACCATATTCATCATAAAAACAGAAGTTACTTCTTTAATATCCTATGGAGATACAGCACTCTGGTCTTTCTCAAAATAATTTTATTCAAAAGAAAGTAATATAGTACGTCATTTGAATTTCCTTAAAGGACAGGCTTCCTGGTTCACTCTTAGACACAGACTATGCTTTGTGTCTGTTTAATATCCTATTACAAACTCGAGGTTATCTAAAATTAGAACACACACCTCCGTGACATCGCAGTCCCACCCAGGACTGTTTACGGTTAGCCATCAAGCTCACTCTCCTCTGGCCAGAGTGAATTAGGGTGATAAGTATCTCGGTGGAAAGGGGCCATGTCCAGTTAAAGACAGAAAACGTGAAACCAAAGAATGTGAGAATCTCGCTGGTGCCACCTACAGCACCGGCCGGGAAGGCAGAGAACAGACAACCGTGTCCATGTGCCTGAGCCTGTGTGCACATGCACCCAGCGCTTCCATTCCTCGGCCAGGACTGTGTGTCAAGACGGGTGTCCACCAAATCTTCCTCAGAACGTGAAAGTGCACAATTAGGTAACGCAAAGGGAAAAAGCACTCTTCAAAACCAGGAGCACCTGAAGCATAATGCCGTTTTTACTATAACAACAGTTTCTCATAGTAAAGAAATTAAAAGCATATAAAATGTATTAAAATTAGAAACAGCAAGGTAGGGGCCAGCAGGTGGTGTCGGAATTAGGGCACTGGACTCCCATATGGCCAATCACGGTTCAAGTCCCAGACCTGGTAGCTTGCTTTCTCATTTTCCCTCCCTCCCTCCCTCTCTGTCTCTGTCTCTGTCTCTCTCTCCCCCTCTCTCATGAGAGCATGTGCCGTATAGCAAATTTTAAAATAAAAACAATAATAAATAAAATTAAATAAACAATTCTTTTAGAAGAAACAGCAAGGTATATTATTAAGCCTGTGTAGCAAACATGGGAGATTCTGACTTCAAATGGGTCACGAGGCCTCAGAGGGAACCTTACCTTACATTCCACCACGCTCTGATCTGACTCACACGTTACATAGATCTCATCTACTGCCCGGCGAAGATTGTCAAAAAGAAATGCCCAGTATCGAGCTCGTAGATCGATTTTCCGAGGGTGCCTTGTTTTCGTGGGACTTTTATCGAAGTGTTTATCCCCAGCTGTAGACGATGCTATTTTACAGTCTACTGCGGGGTTCTGGAGAAACAAAGTAAAGCACAAAAAAATATAACAAGCCTTTCAGAGACTGGATTTTTGTACAAGATACATTTTTCAACATAAATGCTTAAAAAACGAGACATTCTTTTTTATTATAAGTTGGCAATTTATCATTGTATTATATTTACAGGGTACCCAGTAATTTTTTTAAGGTTTTTTCCATAGGGCACGTGCACTCACCAGAGAGATAGAGAGAGGGAAAGTGAGAAATCGCCCCCTAGGGAGGCATGGCCACGCCACAGTCCCTTCTCCTCCATTCTCCTCTCAGGATTTTGGGCATGCACGTACACGCACCCAGTGTGATTTTCAACCCACTGGGTCCAGGACTCGAGCTACAGTTGGCCATAGGCCCTGTGGGAATCCGGTACCTTGACCACCACTCCACCTGCTAGCTCCAAAGTAATGTTTTAATTTATAAATACAGTGTGGAATAATTAAAGCAAGCTAGTTAAGATAGCTGTCTCCTTGATCATTTTTGTGGTGAGAACATTTGAAACTTCCTCTCTTGGCAATTTTTAAATGTATAATATGCTATTACGAACTACATTCTCCACACTGTGCCACAAAATACAAAAAGGTAAAAACAAACAAGCAAACTCCTGCTGCCTGAGATTCCGTACCCTTTAACTATCATCCCCCATGCCCCTCACCACCAGTAGCCTCTGCAGTCACCCCTCCGCTCTGCTCCTATGAGTTCACTGCTGTAGTGTAGACTCCACATCTGAGTGAGAACATGTGGTATTTGTCCTCTTATGCTTTATTTCATTAAGCATAATGTTCTTTGATTCCACCCATGTTGTAGCAAGTGACAGAATTTCCTTTTTTACTTTAAGAATTACTCATTTATTTATTTAAACCTGACCAAAGAGGAACAGGGGAGGAGGGGAGGGAAAGTGAGAAAGCAAGCCGCCAGGTCCAGGACTCGAACGTAGTCAGTCACATGGGAGTTCAGCTCCCTTCACCACACCACCTGCTCGTCCCGACTTTCCTCCTTTTTAAAGCTGCACCAGGGGTATAGACATCTTTTAGATAAATTGGTTTCAACCCTTTTGGATAAATACTCCCCTCTCTCCCTCCCTCTTCCCCTCCCTCTCTCTCTTTATATATATATAGTAGCTCCACTTTACAGATTAGAAAACTGAGCCTTCAGAGCTGTGACATGTGCAAAGCCACTGAGGATGGAAGCCTGACTGCTCTTTCCTATTTCTAAAACCCCTTGCAGAGGGCCTGGAGTGAGTCACACCCACAGACATTAACAGGCCAGTTTGGCCCATTTGATAACAGAAATCCTCCTGTCCTGCCCCGGCATAGTACCCTGTAGTGGGTAGGTCGCGCCCCGTCATGAACGCACCACTGGGACTCACTGACGACACCCTGTGTTCGGGACGGTGTCCTCAGCCCGACTGAAGTACGCCCTCCACTGATTCCTTCCCAACCTACAAGCCCCGCTCCCACATGGCCGCCTTTCTGGGCCAGCCCAGTGGAAAGCTTGTCACCAAACTCTCTCGCTCTCAGAATCAAATAAAAGGAACCGCTGGGCCTGATCACCCCGAGAGAGAGGCCTGTTTTGCCGCATCTCCGGGCCTGTGTCGCACAAATTCGTGCCTAGAAATAAACCTCGTTAACGATGGCCTTTTCAGAGCTGGCCGTTTCCGTCACATCATACAGCCACAGCAGATCATCTTCCAGGCAGAGACCTAGTATACGCGGCTGGCTTCCCAGGACGCAGCTGCGAGGTCTCTTAGCAGGGCAGTAACTGCGTTCATGAGTGCTCTGCCCTCACGACCCTCTTCCCTCTCAGCCCCAGGCAGGGCACAGCTTTTTACTACCTGCTTGTCCAGAGCCCTGCACACGACCAAGGTCTCGCACCAGGGGCCTGGGTCTGCTGACCTATCACAGGACACTTCTGCTTCCCTGCCCCCATAGGAACGGACCTTCTAGATGTTTCTGTCCATTTAGCTTGTGTCCCCAACTTCGCCTACCTATCAATGTATGTATTTTCTGACCCAGAGACATGTTTACTTTAGTTTAAAAATACCTTTTATCTTTACTTTAAAAAGAAAATTATCAATGATGCATCTCTCTGTAGGAAGGGAATTCTTTGTGAATTCACCATGCTATTTTGGTTAGAAGTCCTCATTTTCCTCATATCAAGTGTTTGGTTTACATAATACATGCCTCTATATTTAATAATGTGAAATGAAATTAACATATATATAAACTTCAGAGAAAACACCTATAGACTAAAAACAGAAGTATAATTTTATCAAACACTTTCCAAAAATAAAGTAAGCTTGTATTCTCCAAAATTACAGTAGATTAACCTGAAATTTTAAAGTCAATATATTTTTACTAACCTACAAGCTAAAGGTATCTTTATGTTAAGAAAGAAAATCATAAAGAACTCACAAATATGAGATGTACAGCAGCCAAGCAGAGAGCATAAACTGTGGAAACTTACAGACTGGGTTCAAATACAAGCTGCATCACTTATCAACAAGTAACATATTGGATCGTCGGAAAAGTCATGACATATTTTTCTGTTTTTTAGGCAAAAATGCATCATGACTTTCCTGACAACCCAAATAATATCTCTTTGCTTCAGTTTTTTTATAATAAAACTTCATTTTTATAAGTGAAGATAAAAGTGCCTACACCAAAGTGTTATGAGAACCAAATAAATTAATACTTGTAAAGTATTTGATACAAGTTAGGCATATAATAAGTTATATATAACACACGGGCTACATTTTAAAAGTTACAGTAAATTTTTAACTGAAGATAAAATATATTTGAATCCTTAAAAACTAGACTTATAATTTATAATATATTCAGGAATTAAAATTAAGAATCTAGCAGTAAAGAGTTACACATGCTGTACCTGTTTAGTAGTTTTATGAGTGCCTTGAATTGCCCTCTTAGATTTCCCACCAGTTTGACATTTAGGTTTTCCTTCAGGGCAAGAAAAAAGAGAGAGACAGATAATTACATAATACAAAATGAACTAGGTAATATAAACTATAAAGATCATTTTAGCTATTCTAATGCATAATCTCCTTCCAGAGACCATAAAACAGTACAATCACAATCTATTCATGGTCAATATGAACTATTTATAAAGTATGTTTAAAAAAAAAAAAAAAAAAGCAAATTTCCAAAGTCCCAGAGATTGCTGTTATTGAATGGCTCTCTCTCAGACAGGAATAAATCAACTTCTTTTTCTTTTCTTTTTTTTTTTTTTTTTGGAGAGGTTTTTTTCGCTATAGGGCGTGTGCACTCGCCAGATAGAGAGACACAGAGACAGAAAGCGAGAAATCACCCCCCAGAGGGGATGGTAACGCCGCAATCCCTTCTCCTCCATTCTCCTCTCGGGATCTTGGGCACACACGCACACGTGCCCGGCGTGTGTTTTAAGCCACTGGGTCCGGGACACAAACCGCGGACCACTACATGGGAGTCCAGCGACATAGCCATTACGCTAACTGCTGGTTCCCTAAATCAACTTCTTAAAGAAGTCGGATACTCTGACAATTTACAAGTAAGGTCAAGTTACCACTACTCCTCGACTTACATATACAGTCTGAAAAACACTTCTCTTAATTCAAATTTTATTTCAACAATCAAATTAAGATTATTTTTTTACAATATACACCCCAAATATTCTGTTTTAACTAGTTTATCTGATTTATGAAATACAGCTTCATCCTGAAAAGGGAGGTTTTCAGCTCTTTGTATTTTTACTATCAAGTAAATCTTTCTCACTTCCCCTCTCCCTCCCTCTCTCCCTCTCTCTCTTTCTCTCTCTCTCTCTCTTTGGAGAGGTTTTTGCTATAGGGCATGTGCCCTTGCCAGAAAGAGAGAGACAGACAGAGAGACAGAAAGGAAGAAATCACCCCCCAGGGGGATGGCCACGCCACAGTCCCTTCTCCTCCATTCTCCTCTCAGGATCTTGGGCACGCGCGCACACACACACACACACACACACACACACACACACACGCCCGGCGTGAGTTTAAGCCATTGGGTCTGGGACTCGAACCGTGGTCGGCTACATGGGAGTTCAGCAACATAGCCATTACGCCAACTACTGGTCCAGCATCATTTTCATTTCTATAAAATAATTTGGGGCCAGGTCCCCTTTAGCAGTACTAATAAAAGAGAAGTGAACCACAACACACAGGCACCAGCTAACAATTTACCTGACTTAAGACTCTCTCACCATTCTACCAGGGATAAAGACAGAGAACTCTGCACTAACCTACACAGCCCTTCAATCATCCTTTCCTTGTAAAGAACAACGTATCTGCATGTTTAAAAAGGGAAAAAAAAAAAAAAAAAACCAACCAGCTTGGAACATGCACAAAAGGAAACAAATAATATAAAGAAAAAGCAATGTGAGTATATATTGTAGCCATCAAACAAAAACAAACTGCTACTTAAAAAAATAGAAAGCTCTTTATGGAAAGGTTAGCTAATAAGGAAATGAATTTCAAGAGATAAATTCAATTTCCCCTTCTACTTGATAGTTCCCATGATTCAAAGTAACTGTTCTCTACAAACAGCTGGAAGACTGACAAAGAAAAGCTACAAGGGAAGACTGGGCTGCAGATATATGTAAAACACTGTAACTTCTCTATAATTAAAACAGAACACTTCTCTTAATTCAAATTTTATTTCAACAATCAAATTAAGATTATTTTTTTACAATATACACCCCAAATATTCTGTTTTAACTAGTTTATCTGATTTATGAAATACAGCTTCATCCTGAAAAGGGAGGTTTTCAGCTCTTTGTATTTTTACTATCAAGTAAATCTTTCTCACTTCCCCTCTCCCTCCCTCTCTCCCTCTCTCTCTTTCTCTCTCTCTCTCTCTTTGGAGAGGTTTTTGCTATAGGGCATGTGCCCTTGCCAGAAAGAGAGAGACAGACAGAGAGACAGAAAGCAAGAAATCACCCCCCAGGGGGATGGCCACGCCACAGTCCCTTCTCCTCCATTCTCCTCTCAGGATCTTGGGCACGCGCGCACACACACACACACACACACACACACACACACACACGCCCGGCGTGAGTTTAAGCCATTGGGTCTGGGACTCGAACCGTGGTCGGCTACATGGGAGTTCAGCAACATAGCCATTACGCCAACTACTGGTCCAGCATCATTTTCATTTCTATAAAATAATTTGGGGCCAGGTCCCCTTTAGCAGTACTAATAAAAGAGAAGTGAACCACAACACACAGGCACCAGCTAACAATTTACCTGACTTAAGACTCTCTCACCATTCTACCAGGGATAAAGACAGAGAACTCTGCACTAACCTACACAGCCCTTCAATCATCCTTTCCTTGTAAAGAACAACGTATCTGCATGTTTAAAAAGGGAAAAAAAAAAAAAAAAACCAACCAGCTTGGAACATGCACAAAAGGAAACAAATAATATAAAGAAAAAGCAATGTGAGTATATATTGTAGCCATCAAACAAAAACAAACTGCTACTTAAAAAAATAGAAAGCTCTTTATGGAAAGGTTAGCTAATAAGGAAATGAATTTCAAGAGATAAATTCAATTTCCCCTTCTACTTGATAGTTCCCATGATTCAAAGTAACTGTTCTCTACAAACAGCTGGAAGACTGACAAAGAAAAGCTACAAGGGAAGACTGGGCTGCAGATATATGTAAAACACTGTAACTTCTCTATAATTAAAACAGTATGGCACTCACACATGAATGAGATAGAGACTGGCCCGATAGAACACATGTACACATGGGGAGTTAATCTACAAAAAAGGCAAAAATAATTATTAAGGCAAATACCGACTTTGTAAGTGATGTTGGGGCAACTTCTTAGCCATGTAGAAAAATTAGATCCATACTGCACCATATGTAAGAAAAACTACACATAATCTAAACATAAAAAGATAAAAATTTAAAATAAAATAAATTGTTAAAAAAAAAATTTTAATGGTGGGGCCAGCAGGTAGTGTGGTGGTTAAGGCGGGGGGCACTCCCACATGGTTGACCACGGTTCAAGTCCCAGACCTACTAGCTTGCTTTCTCACTTCCCCTCTCTCTCTGTTTCTCTCTCTCTGGTCAAATTAAAATAAATGAATGAGGAACCAGCAGTTGGCATAATGACTATGTTGCTGGACTCCCATGTAGTCAATCACAGATCGAGTCCCAGACTTGGTGGCTTAAACTCACGCCAGGTGCGTGTGCATGTGTGCCCAAGGTCCTGAGAGGAGAATGGAGAAGGGATTATGATGCGGTCATCCCCCCGGGGGATAATTTCTCACTTTCTGTCTCTTTATCTCTCTCTGTCTTTCTGGTGAACATAATGTGCCCTACAGCAAAAACCTCTCAAAAATAAATAAACAAATAGATAGATTAATTAATTAATTTAATTAAATGACTGATTCTTTAAAAAAAATAAAAATGAGTGAATTCAAGTTTATATTGAAATGTGCTGTTATAAATACATGGATGTTCTCAAAGGATGGTAAAAATGTATCAGAAGCATATGGGAGCCAACTTAAGAGTTTCACTCTACCCAAGTCTAGACAATTTGAGCATCAAAATCAATAGATAATGGATTATCACAAATTACATACAGTAAGAGGCCATGAGTCTACACAAATTTAAATACCTAATTAAAAAGAAAGAATGGAAAACTCTTCCTTATATCAGAAGGCCATCTAATAAATATAAAAGGAATGATGGAATTATTAGCAAGCAACCATTTGCAATCAACAGAGTAGTAAGAAGCTAAAAATCATCAAAGAAAGCTAAAGGCACAGGTGGACTGTTTCAGGAGCAACAGGGAATTACTCAGTAATAAAAGGAAAATATCAGTTACTGTACAGCAGAGAAACCTGGCAGACACGACCTCAACCAAGCAGACTAAGTTAACATCACTAGTGGTGAGACAGACATACAATCCTTCAGTAATGCGTTAAAAAGTTCAACTCCAGAGTTTCAAAGTAGTTAAAACTACATCATTTCTAGAGAATTCTTGCCCATAGACACATCTCGATCTAACCATGAAAAGGCACCAGACAAACCCCATAGTGAGGACTAATCCCATAGTGAGGAAAACACTAGAAGCCCTGAGAAAAGTTCAAAGTGGAGTCTCTTGACAAATCCAACCTCCTGTTTTCCCTATCTCTATCCAATTTTATAAATCCCCAGAAACAGTGGCCTCATACTGCCCCAGTCATTAAATGGGAGGGACTAAAGAGAGATTTTTTTTTTCTAAATCAAATAATACTGATAAGAACTGAAGAAACTGGGTTCGGCAGGTGGTGTGGTGGTTAAGGTGCTGGACTCCTACATGGTCTATCGCAGTTCAAGCCCCAGACCTAGTAACTTAAAATAAATAATTATTTTTTTAATTATTTTTTAATTTCTACATGATTACATAAAATTTTACCTAATCATGGTAAATAACTTTTCAAACCTATTTTAAAATTATTATACAAATTTAATATAAGAAAAAATTCCAAATCTCTTGAATCTCTTGTAACTTAAAAATATCAAAACCTAATTTGCCAGTCATACTATAACAGACCTGACTTCTTCTGAAACAGCAAAATAACAGCCCTGTTATAAAACCATTTTTATAACAGGGCCAGCAGGAGGTGTGGTGGTTAAGATGCTGGACTCTCGGGGCCCGCAGAGGGTGCAGTGGTTAAGGACACTGGAATCCAACATGGCCGACTGTGATTCGAGTCCTGGATCTGGCAGTTTGCCTTCTCACTTTCTCTCTCTCTCTCTCAATCTGCCTATCACCGGTCAAATTAAAATACATAAATAAAGTTAAATAATTCTTAAAAAAAAAAAAAATGCTGTACTCCCACATGGCTGACTGCAGTTCGAATCCCAAACCTGGCAGCTTGCTTTCTCACCTTCTCTCAGTATCTCTCTCTGGTGAGCACCTGTACCCTACAGCAAATAATAAAAATAAAATTAAATGATTCTTAAAAAAGTTTGCCTATGTAAGCAATAAAAAAATTATATATGAATGTGCCCAAGTAAACAATTTTCATCTATCCCCCGTTTAGGACTAAATACATCCTTTTAATTTACAACAAAAGTGAAACTCATTTTTAATACATACCATCATCGTCTTTGCTTTCTAGAGGAACACTCCAAGCTATCAGGTTTCTGGCTGTACGGCCCTCCTCTGCAACTATTCTCCTCACCTTGTCGTGACTGTTAGAGCGCTGGAATGAAGCCTATGGGTGGAAAAGACAGTATCGGACTGTTAGATATTCGACTGGTCCACGTATGAAATACATTTGTCAGACACATTCCTAGTTCTCGCATCTTCTGAGAAAGGAAACAACTCCAATTTGAGATTTGGAGGGTGGCTAAAAAGAGAAAAGAACGCAAAGTGCAAGTCTTGTTGAGGTCATGAAACTCACTAGTCTATTCACTATAATCTAATTCTAGAGTCTTCATAAGGCAATGCATTTCCAAGAACTAAAATATCAACAGATGAGCACAGGCTAGCAAGGCTGCAGAAACGCCAGGCTAAGACATCAAATCTAAAGTCCTTTTTTTCTATAAACATCTTAGTTTTACCATAACTGTCACCAAACTAACTTTTTTTTTTCACTTGGTAGACTACATGGGTACATGTTCAAAGAAGAAGTCACCCATTCAAGACTCTTATTTGCAGTTCTAATACTTCATATGTGAAAACATGACAACTACCCGTCCTATGGAGATACCTGTAGAAACCATTTTTCATTTTAAAGCACAGCTGATTTCCGTAATGTGGGCTGAATGGACTCCTTGCAGTAAAGATCACATAGATTCTGATCACGTTCAATAACCCAGTTCTCATGAAATGTCAGCAGTAGCGTAGTTGTAGTAGCTTCAGACTTAGTAACCTAAGGATCGAGGTTTAAAATGCAATAAAGGAGTCCCAGATACTCCATAACATTGCAGATGTCTATTTCGAGTGGTATTGTACCTAGGCTCTTCTTGTACAGGAGACTTCTACAAAGTCACAGTGTGCCACCTAGTGCTGTATGGAGATTTTACAGTGGCTTGTTCAAACACTAAATGTTTCAATTAAAAGCGTAAACATGGGAGGGCAGCTGTGCTGGTGGTTAAGGCGCTGGACTCCCACATCACCAACCATGAGTCCCAGATCTGGCAGCTTAAAACTCACACCAGACGTGTGTGTGTGTGCGTGCATGCCCAAAACCCTGAGAGGGTGGAGGAGAAGGGATTGTGGCATGGTCATCCTCCTTGAGGGTGATTTCTTGCTTTCTGTCTTTCTCCCCTGCGAATGCATGCACTCTATAGCAAAAATCTCCCTACAATTAATAATGATAATAATAAGTCTTTTTTTTTTTGAGAGAGAGAGGTTTTTGCTATAGAGCGTGTGCGCTCACCAGAAAGACAGAGAGAGACAGAGAGAAAGCAAGAAATCACCCCCCAGGGGGGATGGCCACACCGCAATCCTTCTCCTTCATTCTCCTCTTAGGATCTGGGGCACACATGCACACGTGCCTGGCATGAGTTTAAGCCACCAGGTCTAGGACTCAAACCATAGCTGGCTACATGGGAGTTCAGCGACACAGCCATTACACTAACTGCTAGTCCAAATAATATCATGTCTTATCAATTAACTCCCCTCAATATACCTTGGAAACATAAATTTACTAACGCCACCCTAGTCTGAGCCATCATCTCAAGTCCAAATTACTATGTAAGTCACTGTGACAAAAATTAACAATGTTTACCAAAAACCACTTGTGCTTTCTCCTGTCACAAAGGTAGACAACATTTGCTAGACTCTCTTACATAGATAGCCATGTGACTAAATTCTGCGTAACAGAACATGGGGGAATTATGACAGACAATGGGTCTGTCATTTATAGGTGTGGCTTATTTTTTAAGAGTATCCTGCCTTGGGGACAGTAGATGGCATAGTGGTTGCGTCACTGTACTCCCACATGGCCGACTGTGGTTTGAGTCCCAAACCTGGGACTCATGCCAGGTGTGTATGCATGCATGCCCAAGATCTCGGGAGGAGAGCAGGGGAGAAAGGATTGTGATATGGCCACCCCCTCCCCCCCGGGGAGGTGGTTTCTCACTTTCCCTCTCACAGTCTCGGTCTCTTTTTGGTGAGCACACACACACACTAAGGCAAAAACTTCTACCAAAAAAAAAAAAAAAAAAAGCATCCTGCATTGAACCAGCAGGTGGCAATGGTGGGTAAGGTACTGGATTTCCACATTGCTGACCGCGCTTCCAGTCCTGGACCTGGTGGATTGCTTTCTTTCTCTTTATCTCTCTGGTGAGCACATGAGCCCTATAGCAAAATTTAAAAAATAATAATAAACAAAAATTATATTAAAAAAAAAGAATTAAAAGGGGCCAGCAGGTGGTGTGGTGGTTAAGGGCACTGGACTCCCACATAGCTGACCACAGTTTGAGTCCTGGGCCTAGTGGCTCGCTTTCTCACTTTGTTTCTCTCGCTTTCTCTCACTCTGTCCCTCTCTGGTCAAGTTAAAATTTAATTAATTAATTAATTTTTAAAAAGGTATCTTGGGACCAGCTGATGGCATAATGGCTACGTCGCCGGGACCCCACCCAAACTACAATTCGAGTCCCGGACCCAGTGGCTTAAACTCATGCCACTGGTGTGTGTGCATGAGTGCCCAAGATCCGAGAAGAGAATGGTGGAGAAGGGACTGCAGAGTGGCCATCCTCCCTGAAGGGTGATTTCTCGCTTTCTGTCTCTTTCTCTCTCTCTCTTTTTGGAGGTTTTTGCTATAGGGCACGTGCGCTCACCAGAAAGACAGAGACAGAAAGCGAGAAATCGCCCCCCTGGGGGGGATGGCCACGCTGCAATCCCTTCTCCTCCATTCTCCTCTCAGGATATTGAGCACAATGCACATGTGCCAGGTGTGAGTTTAAGCCACCGGGTCTGGGACTCGAACCGCGGTCAGCTACACGGGAGTCCTGCAACATAGCCATTACGTCAACTATTGGTCCCTCTCTCTTTCTGGCGAGCACACGCACCCTACAGCAAAAACCACTCAAAGAATAAAAAAGGTATCCTACATCATTATCCTTCTCTCTTACCTCCCTCCCTCACTGGTCAGATGCAGAAACTCCAGGAAAGGATTCACTAAAGAGTGATGGTGCCGAAAGACAGAATAAGTAGATTGGGTCCTTCAATGACCAATACAGAACGTCACAAACTAAATACCTGCAATGAACTAAGAATAAGAAACAGAACTTCTACTCTGTCATTCCCCTTCTGGTTATGAAGAACTAGGCAATTTAGACAAACCACCCAGCTGGGAAAAACTATAAAACCTGAACTAAGTATTTTCTAAATCATCTGTTTAAAAACACTATGGTGAAAAGTGTTAAAAATGAGCTACTACCGAGCCAAGATTGGGATAAGACAAACACAAACAGCCCTGCAATCAGGGCTTGTTCCCCAGAGCCACCTGCCAATCCTGGAGGCGCCCAAGGCAGAAGAGCTGAGCAAAGTTTGGCAGATACCAAAAGAATGGAAACAAAACTTGTTCAGGTCTACTCCGAGCTTCAGATGAGGACACCGAGAGCTCCCTTCCATGGGTAAGGATGAACCAGAACATCAGCCGTCACAAACAATAGAGTCAGTTCTGAATGCTTCAATCCTTAACTGAATTAGAGTAAACCAATCCTGCCATTGCCCCTGGCCAATCTGCCAGAAACAAAGTAAATCTTGGAGAGAAGAAGTTTTTTAGCATTTTAGGCATCAAATTATCTGCTCAATTATTCCCATGTAATGTTCTACAGCCAATAAAAAATTACCAGGCATATTAGAAGGCACATTAAATGACTGAAAGCCAAGAAAAAGTTGTAAGAAAACAGAAACATACAAGGTTGTTAGAAAAGTCACAATGCCTTTTTTTAAAATAATTATTTATTTTATTTGACTTATTCATTCATTTATTTTTTAATTTGACCAGAGAGAGACAGAGCTTGAGAGTGAGAGAGAGAGGAAGTGAGAAAGCAACCCACCAGATTCAGGACTCAAACCCTGGTCAGCCATGTGGGAATATCCAGCGCCTTAACCATCACACCACCTGCTGGTCCCCACAATGCATTTTTCCGTAGAAAAAATATGTCATGATTTTCCCAACAGCCCAATAGCTGCACCAGAACCAAATAAGATAGTGATCAGTCAAATACTTAAAGGAAACTCTAATCTGACCTAGAAAATTAAAACACTAGATTGAAATTTTCAGCAGAGAACTAAAAACCTAAAAAGAATCAAATGGAAATGATAAAACTGAAAAAAAAATAAAACTAAGAACATTAGAAAAAAAAAAAAAAACTCATATCAAACAAATACTACCTTAAAACAGATAATAGGCCCGACTGTGGCGGCCTGGGATGCTAGGATGTGTGCTCTGCAGACTGTCACAGTTACGATCCCAGGTCCAACCTAACGGCTAGGCATGGAGGCATGCACCTGTGAGCCCAGCAACATGCGAGGCTGAACAGGAGGCTCTTGACAGGGCAACACCTACTTTAAAATACAAGAAAAAAACTTCTTAATATTTTAAGATAATAAATGTAAAGTAGATGGAGGGGCCAGCAGGTGGTATAGTGGTTAAGGGCACTAGACTCCCGTATGGCCAACCACAGTTTGAATCCCAAACCTGGCAGCTTTCTCTCTCTCTCCCTCTCTGGTCAACTTAAAATAAATACGTAAATAAAGTTAAATAAAATAATTCTTAAAAAAAAAAATAGATGGAAAGAAGGGATGAAAGAGAAATGCTCAAAAACTAAAGTTGGTCTTTAAAGTACCTTGATCACTTACCATCATTCTTTAATTCTTTTTCTGTGCCACAAAGATCATCCACCGCATAAACCTATGGGGAATGACTCCTACAAGAAAAACAATACATACACACCTAGTCACAACGCAGTCATAAAATCATTACTTATTCATAAAACGATACAAACCTAATCCCAAGTTCCTCATTACATTAAACAAGAAAAGGAAATTATTTTATACTGCCTGTTTGGATATGTTATAGCTTTAAGAACATCATGCTGAACAATATCTCAATGTTCTCCAAAAAATAAAAAAGGAAAAGAGCTAGGTACCTGAACAGTAAAGAATAACCTAACCCAGAAGCTTCAGACTTTTCTGACTACGACCCACAAACACACCCATGCACACACATACATTTCATATCTTAACCCAATTCATACATCAGTGTTAAACGCAAACGAAAGTACCATGGATATTTACCCCTGGTGTGTGCGATGTTCTCTAATATCTCCTTCTCTAACAATTGCATCTTCTGAACCCTGCTTACACTAAACTGACTAGTAATGCCTAGGTCTGTATTGAAAATACCTATAACTGCTTCTTAAGAATTTTTGTAAATGGGACAGGCAGGTAGCGTGGTGGTTAGAGCCACCGAATCCCACGTGGCTGACCGTGGTTTGAGTCCCAAACCTGGCAGCTTGCTTTTTCCCTTTCCCTTTATCTTTCTCTCTCACTCTGTCTCTCTCTGGTCAAATTTAAGTAAATACATAAATAAAAAATAAAGTTAAATAAAATAAATCTTTTATAAAAAAGAATTTTTATAAACAGGGGCTGGCAGGTGGTATGATGATTAAGATGCCGGTCTCCTACATGGCAGACCACAGTTCAAGTCCGAGACCTGGCAGCTTGCTTTCTCACTTTCCTTCTCTCTCTCTCTGATCAAATTTAACAAAAATAATAACAAATAAAACAATTTTTTAAAAATAATTTTTATAAACAGAGCTTTTTATCAGAATGCCTTCATACAACTACACAAGGCTCCACATAGAACAGATCCAAGGTTCAGGTACTCAAACCCTTATACAAAGAATTCCAAAGAATACAAGGGACAGGGAATCAAAAAACTCCCAACAAAAAAAGACCCCAGGACCGTCAGGTGAATTCATTGGTGAATTCTACCAAACATACATGCATACATACTTTTTTATTTTCATTTATTTTTTAAGTTTTTGCCATAGGGCATGAACACTCAGTGGAGAGAGGCAGAGAGAGGGAGAGAAATCGCCTCCCAGGCAGGATGGCCACACCAAAATCTCTTCTCCGTACTCCTCCTGAGATTTTTGGGCATGCGTACACATGTGCTCAGATGATTTTCTAGCTGCCAGGTCCAGGACTCAAACTGCGGTCAGCCATGTGGGAGTCCAGCATCTTAATCACGATGCCACTTACTGGCCCTCTACATTTAAAAAAGAATTAACACCAATCTTTCTCAAAATCATCCCAAAACACTGAAGAAAGAAAATCCTTCTAAACTCATTTTTACAAGGCCAACACTGTCCCAATACCAAAGCCAAACATAAACACTACCAAAAATAGAAACAAACAACAACAAAACCCTGCTCAACATAAACCCAAAAATCCTCCACGAATTACCAGCATTCCAAATTCAACGACTTGTAGGTTGTCACTAATTAGTTCCCTAGAGAGCCAGCTGTTACAAAAGCAATTTGCTTACCTGGAAGGTCTCTCTCTATTTGCAAGTACCAGCTCTCCTTCCTGCCTCTCACGGCCATGCTATGATGGCGCACAGGCCTTTTGGACTTCCCAGTCACCTAAACCGTGCGCCAAATAAACCTCTTCAGATATTTATGTTACAGCAACACAATGGACTAAGTCAGTATTTAAATACCACAAAGGGGCCAGCACTTGGAGAAATGATTATGTCGCTGGACTCCAATGTAGTTGACCACAGCTTGAGTCCTGGACCCAGTGGCTTGAAACTCATGCCGGGCACATGTGTGTGTGTGCTCAAAATCCTAAGGAGAAGGGATTGCAGTATGGCCATCCCCCCGGCGGTGGGGGCGGTAATTTCTCACTTTCTGCCTCTCTTTCTCTCTCTCTGTCTCTCCAGTGAGCACATATGCCCTATAACAAATATCCCTCTAAAACAAATAATAAAATAAGCAAATTTCACAAAGATCAACTTAATTATATGAATAAATGGCTAATAGAGGCCAAGAAGGAGAGAAGGAACCCATGTCAGGTTAAACAGAACCACTGCATTAGGTTAAAAGTTACGTTCCCATTTCTCCAGAAATGATATACAAATGGCTGGTAAGCCCATGAAAAGATGCTGAAATCACTAGTCATTAGGGAAATGCAAATCAAAACCACAATGAGATACCACTTTATACCACGCGCTAAAATGTTTCTAATAAAAAAGACAAAACGAGTGCTGAGAAATCATGTGTAGAAAGTGGAATCCTCACACACTGCTATTGGAAAATAAAATGGCGCAGGTGGTTTGATAAACAGTCTGGCAGATCTTCATAAAGTTAAACAGGGCCCAGCAGATGGCATGATGGTCAAGGCAGACCATGGTTCAAGTCCTGGACCCAGTGGCTTGAAAATCACAGGTATGTGTGCGTGTGTACTCAAAATCCCAAGGGGAGAATGCAGACGAAGGGACCGTAATGTGGTCGTGCCCCCGGAGGGTGATTTCTTACCTTCCCTCTGTCTCTCTCTAGCTAGCGCTTGTGCCCTATGGCAAAAACCTTAATTAAAAAAATAAATAAATAAAAAGGTTAAACATACAGCTACAGCAATTCTACTCCTAGATAATATACTCCAAAGGAATAAAAACACACTCAAGAACAGAATACAAATGCTCATTGCATTATTCAAAAGTGCAAAAAAACAGAAAGAACCCATCAACTGATAAATGGGTAATAAAATACAGTCCATCTATATATTGGAATTACTCAGCCATAAAAAGGAATGAAGTGCTGATATATGTTACAATACGGCTGAACCATGAAAACATTATGCTAAGTGGAAGAAGTCAGACACAGAAGACTGCCTATTGTACAATTCCATCAATGTAAAACGTCCCGAGAGTTCACACTGCCGGACAGCAAATCCGGAGACAGAAAGTAGATTACGATTGGCTGGAACTAGAGCAGAGGATGGGATGGTGAAGGAGGGAGGGAGTCCAGGGATGGGGAATGACTGCTAATGGTTATGAGGTTTCATACTGGGGTGTTGAAAATGTTCAAAGATTGACTGTGGTTTAAAAAAAAAAAAAACTGAAGTATACATTTTAAATGAGTAGATTTCATGATATATATAACTTAATAAAACTGTTTTTAAAAAGCTGTATCACCCAAGATCCCAAGAGGAGAATGGAGAAGAAGGAATTGCAGCGTGGCCATCCCCCCGGGGGGTGATTTCTCGCTTTCTGTCTCTCTATCTCTCTCTGTCTTTCTGGCGAGCGCACGTGCCCTATAGCAAAAACCTCTCCAAAAAAAAAGGAAAAAAAAAAAAAAAAACCTATATCCTGGGGTCAGTAGATGACTAGGGAGTGGTTGGAGTCCTGGACCTAGTGGCTTAAAACTCAGGTCAGGTGCATTTGTGTATGTGTGTGTGTGCGTGTGTGTGCATGCCCAAAATCCCAAGAGGAAAACGGAAGAGAAAGGACTGTGGAGTAGCCATCCCCCTGAGGGGTGATTTCTCACTTTCTCTCTGTCTCTCTGGTGAGCACACACACACCCTCTAGCAAAAATCTCTCTCTAAAGAAAAAAAGTTATATCCTAATCCAGAATTTCCAAAATTTCAATCATTGTTACTACCTTCGTGATATCTGACATAACTAAGTACCACCCGTATGATTACTTACTCGTGCTTGAACTAGAGCCACATTTTTACTAGATTTTCTAAAAGAAAATTTCTAACTGTCAAAAACGTAAAACCAGATCACCTAAAATATAGCAAAATATTGACAATGGTACTCAAATGAATGAAATTTGAGAAACTCTGGGCTGTAGCAAAACAATGGCCAAGCAGAAAACACCACCAAAAAAAAACAACCCAGCCAGTAAGCAGGCAATGAACACTAGGCCTGAGTACCCAAGGTTTCTGAGCACAATGCTGCCTGTGGGGAACTGCAGTCTCACCCGTCACCCCTCCCCTGCAGTCCCAGGGTGCGTGCGGAGAAGTCCAAGTCCGAGAAATGGAAATGCGGCGGCAGGGCTGGGTGCCAGGAAAGTGCACCTTTCTTCTTACCAGAGTTCGGGTGCACAGGCTGTAAAAGGGCAAGGAATGGCATGTCCACAGGAGAGAGAGGGGGTCAGCAGGTGGCCATGATGGTTAAGGCGCTGGACTCCCAACTGCAGTTCGAGTTCCAGACCTGGCAGCTTGAAAATCCCACTGAGCGTATGTGCCCAAGATCCCGAGAGTAGAATGGCAGAGAAGGGACTATGGCGTGTCTATCCCCACGAGGGGGTGATTTCTCACTTTTCTCTCTCTCCGGGGAGTAGACACGCCATATGGCAAAAAACCTTACGCCCCCCCCCCAAAAAATCCTATGGGGGTGCAGGTCTCTGTCTGACTGCCTCTCTATCCCTGAAAAAATTAATTATTTAAAAAGTACCTATCTTGGGGCCAGGAAATTACCCAGGGGGTGATTTCTTACTCCCTACCACAAACACATGCACCTTATAGCAAACTACAAAATATGAAACTAGGCTGGATTATAGTATGATATGAAGGTAAAAGAAAAGGCAGAATTTCAAGTTCCTTGATCTTATTTATCTTTAAAACATTCCTATAAAGTGGTTAAATAAAGACATTAATAAAGTCTTAATATCAACTCAATGTTTTAGCAATTCTTAAATTACCTATGAAGCATATATCTATATTTAAAATGTTATCATTTTGGAACCAGAAGGTGGTGTGATGGTTAAGGTGCTGGACACTCCCATATGGCTGACCATGGTTCGAGTCCTGGACCTGGTGGCTTGCGTGCACACTGTGTGTGTGTGTGTGTGTGTGTGTGTGTGTGTGTGTGTCTGGTCAAATTAAAATTTAATGAATAAATTAAAAATTAAATAAT